ACTACTACTACTACTACTACTACTACTACTACTACTACTACTACTACTACTACTACTATCACACATAATAGTGATAATACGGATCATAATGATAGTAATAACGATAAAATTCAGAACAATAATATTAGCAGTACGGGTAATATTAATAACTCGAATAAGAATAATTAGACAATACGTTGAAACAGCAAAATGAAGAACAAAAAAAAAACCTTCAGTTTTGCTTCTGGCCGGCCAGGTCTCCGGCTCGAGCGTCTCCTTCACGGCGGATGGCCCGCCGGCGCCTGGCGGAGTCTCCGCGGCGCCCCTGGTGGGCCAGGCGGCGCGCTCGGCTGAAGCTGTGCTTCCGCTGGGCCCGTGGGCGTCCTGGGAGAACCCCCCCCGCCGGGAGTTGTCCGAGATTTCGAACGTTTTCGGAAGCTTTCGAGACCAGGGGTGCTTTCCAGCGGCTACGCCTTGTCGGGGGTATTCCAGGGGTGCCGGGATCGTCCCGAACGGCCGCCCGAGAGCCGAGCTTTGGACCGAGAACCAAGGAGCACCGACAGACCTCCTCTTAGATGCTCTTTTGGGGGAACTTCCTGGGGCCCACCTGGCGGATCTGTTCGACTCACGTTCGATCCCAGTTCGACTCAAGTTCGGCTCAAGTTCGACTCAGGCACTTTTGGTAGGTGGATCTATCAAGATCTCCGCAGCCTCTGGCGGTGTGCGTTGCGAACAGGGACGCAGCAAAGCCACAGGAAAGCGCGGCAAAGCACACCGCCAGAGGCGGCGAAGAGCTTGAGACATCCACCTGCCCCAAAAAAAGATTCGACTCAGGGGCGATTCCAATCGACGGACGTTCGACGCAGCTTCGACGCAAGAGTGGAACGAGTGTCTCCGGGAAGGTCCCCAGAATGAGATGCAAGTTCGACTCAAGTTCGACTCAGGTTCGACTCAGGGTCGACTCGAATCGACGTGCGTTCGACGCAGCTTCGACGCAAGAGTGGAGAGCGGGTGTCTCCGGGGAGGTCCCCCAGGAGGAGCATCCAGCTCTCCTCGCCGTGGCAGAAGTCCTGGCGGCTGGTTTCTCTCCTCGTGGGGACCCTCGGCGTATCCCCCGAGGCCGTCAGCAAGACGGCTCGGGATGCTCGGATGCTCGGGATGCTCGGCGTATCCCCCGATGCTCGAGAAGTACCCCTGGCCCAGGGTGCCACCAGCTTTTCGCTCCATGTTGGAGCCCCTGGGGCACTCTGAGCCTCGTGAGAAGTGCTCTGGAGGCCGCGTGGGCTGCCCCGAGGATTCTGGGGGCACCTCGGCCCAGGAGCACTTCTAGCAACACCCGAGATGCTTCAGGACCTGTCCTGGGGAAGGGGTCGAGGGTTCTGCGGGTCCACGCCTGGAATAAAAATCACGACGTCGGATTTCAGGCTTCCTTGGAGGCCCTCGCGAAATCGAGCACTGCACTGCAGACCAACGGCGTCGAGCGCAGCCTAGCTCATCGGGCAGCGGCGCGCTCGGAGTGAGAAGCTGCCGTCGCGTGTCGCAGCTCTTAGAAGGTCCGGGAAGATCGTGGGGTGAAGATCCTGAACGCCCCCGAAAACGCTTCTGCTTCGGGTCGGGCGAAAGGGGGGGATTGGGAAAGGGGGGGTTACGAAATTTGCTGCATGCAGCTGGTTTCGGCCTCACCGAGGGGCCCATTCCTCGATACATAACCGCCTCCAGCGCCGGGAGGCGCTGGGAAAATCAGCTACGTGAGCTGATTCTCAAACCCCCCCTTTGCTATCCCCCCCTTTTGCCCGACCCGAGACCTCTGGGAGGCCCCATGGAGGCAAACAGCAGCATCAGAGTCGGACCGAGGTGCCAGTTCGGGGAGGGTGCCCTAGAGTGGTAAGTCGGGCATGTCCCTCTACTGGATGGATTTGAATACTTGGGAGCATTTGGAGGCTATTTTGGGGGGCCCAAGATCCGCCTGCAGGGGGACATGCCCGACCTAACCCTAGTGTTCTTCGTTTTTTGTTTGACGTTCTTGTGCATCCTTGGGAGGGGTACCCTTGGATGTTCTGTTTGGTTTGGCCGACGGAGGGTCTCATGTTCTTGAAGGGTGTTGTTCTGGCCGCAGCCCCATTGTAACATCCACAGCGTGTTTAATCAAGTTCCTTCCTCGATCTTCGCGGGGCGGGAGCAGAACCCGGCGGGCCCGAGCATCCCGAGGGGCCGCATGAGCCCCGGGCACAACCCGGAGGCAGTCGACAGGGCAGGACAGGCAAGATCTAGGCCTCCTAGATGGGGTCGGAGTAGATGGGGTCGGAGGATCGCGCCGCATCGCTGGTGCATCGCCGATGTGGCTCGACGTGCATCCCGACTTGCTTCACGTCGACGTTGCCGATGCATCGCCGACGTCGACGATGCATCGCCGGCGCATCGCCGATGCATCGGCGATGCGGCGCCTTGCTCCGACCCCGTCTATTCCGACCAAATCTAGGAGGCTTCTGGACGAGGTGAACGGGCGACTGGGAGGAGGAGGGGGGAAGAATGAGGAGGAGGGAGGAGGAGGGAGGAGGAGGGAGGGAGGAGGAGGGAGGGAGGAGGAGGGAGGAGGGAGGAGGAGGAGTGGAGGAGGGAGGAGGGAGAGGAGGGGGGAGGAGGGAGGAGGGGGGAGGAGGAGGGAGGAAGAGGGTGGAGGAGGGAGGAGGGAGGAGGACGAGGAGGGAGGAGGAGAGGGGAGGAGAGGGAGGAGGAGAGGGGAGGAGGGGGGAGGAAGGGGGGAGGAGGGAGAAGGCGGGAGGTGCTCGCTCTCGTGCCCGTCGTGCGGGCCAAGCTGCGACGCTGGTCGGCGCGGCGAGGGAAGAGACTGCGGCCCGCCTCGGCTGCGCGCGAAGACGAGGGATGGAGGGAGGGAGGGACGGAGGGAGGGATGGAGGGAGGGAAGGGGGGAGGGAGGGAGGGAGGGAGGGAGGGACGGAGGGAGGGAGGGAGGAGGGAGGAGGAGGAGGAGGAGGAGGAGGAGGAGGAGGAGGAGGAGGAGGAAGGAGAGAGAGGAGGGGGTCATGAGGATGATGGGGAGCCGGGGAAAGGGGGGGAGGAGTGTGGGGTGGACCAGGAGGTACAGGGGAAGCGAGGAGGAGGAGGAGGAGGAGGAGGAGGAGGAGGAGGAGGAGGAGGAGTGCAAACCGAAGACGCATCGAAGATGTTGCGATACCCCCCAAAAAACTCAATTTCATAGGTCGCTACATGAGATCTCTCTCATTGCGGGAAGTGTCCCATTCAGAGACAATTGTATGACAATGTTCAACCGTGCCAGAGCAGTATTCTTGGGACTTCAACGCCGCGACTCAACGCGCTGCGGCCTGACAATTCCAAATCGTGCCAGAATGCCGTTGCCGGGACATCAACTCCGCAAGTCAACGTGATTGCTGCGCCGTAGCAGCCCTTAACCGCGCCGAGTTGCCACCATTGGGGCTTGAACTTTGAAGATGCTGCAAACGTTCAAGACGAGTGCGCGCGGCACTGAGGCAAAAGGATCCGCGCTGCAATTTAGAAATTGCCGCAGGTTGTTAGGAAGACTGCGCTCAGCGCTAAGGTGATAGCTGCATTGAGGAAAAGGGCCTGCCCTCCATCCTCGAAGCTGCTGCGAATCCTCAACGCGAATGGGCGCGTCGCCAAGGCGAGGGCCAGATGTTGAAGCGCACCCGCTTTCAATCATTCCAACTGCTGCGGCGTTTTTTAAGAAGCTGCAGCGTAATAAGCGGTGAGGACGTTTCAGGCGAAACGCCTGGTCCGCTCTGCCGACACGTGTGGGGGTGCGACAGGGATGAATTATATCATTGGAGGCAGGGGTCGATGAAGAGGAGGAGGAGAAGGGAAAAGGAGGATAATGGGGAGCGGGGGAAAAGGGAGGTGGAGTTGAGGGGGGGAGGCATGAGGAAAACAGGGAGGGAGGAGGAAGATAATACAGACGCTACAGCTGCGCGGCCAAAATCCGAGCAACGTAAAACGCAGGACGACGATGATGATGAATTGAAGGAAAAAGGAAAAATAATGTGAGAAGGAGAAGGAGAAGGATGGGAGGGATTTGTCGGACCTCTGGCGAGCATAGGAACAGTGGGAATCGGCCAGCTCGTGCCTGTTCTGGTGTGTTTTTCTCGCCGGGGTGCGCTGTGCCCAGAATCTCGAGGCGCATCCAGCCGTTGCCCTGGGAGGCCTCCTGGAGGGCCAGCAAAACGCAGAAACACAAACTCGAACCTCGACGCTCAAACCTGGGTCGTCGGCCCTCCGGCCACGGGGCCAGGCCGTGTCGAGCACCTTCACCCTGGCCGCCACGGGCTGGAGCGACGAGGACCCGTCGACCCTGACCTACACCTTCTACCGCTTCCCGGTCCGGGGGAGCGTCGTCTCGCAATCGGGCGCTGGCCTGGTCGCGGTGCCCGCAATCGAGGCCTCCAGGCCGTCCAAATGGGGTCCGATCAGCTTGGGGTCGGATGATCGCGCCGCCTCGCCGGTGCATCGGCGATGCAGCTCGATGGTGTGCCCGAGTTTCCCGACGCAGACGGCGGCAATGCCATGCATCGTCGACGTCGCTGACGCATCGGCGATGCATTGGCGATGCGGCGTGATCCTCCGACCCCATGTGGTCGTAGTGCATTTGGTGCGAGGCCCCGGACATCGAGTGGGACGACCGGGGCAGCGAGAACCATTGGGTGAGCCTGGGCGGGGTCGTGCTGCGGCAGGCCAGCAGATCGCCCGAGGCCTCCAACATTCACTTGTCCTCCGGGGCGTACTTCGTTGTGGTGCGCGCCTCCCTTTACAATTCATCGCCTTCCTCCTCCTCCTCCTCCTCCTCCATTTCCTCCTCAATCCTCACATCACAATCCTCATCTCTCCTCATCCCTCCCTCCGCCCCATCACCCACCTGCCCCCTCCCCTCCCTCTCCCCGCGGGTGCGTGCGACGGACAAGCTCGGGGCCTCGGGCGTTGCTACGATGCTCGGGCCCCTCGTAGAGCCGATGTCGGCGGCAAACTTCTCGGTGGACGCTGTGATTCAGACGTCTTCTGAGCTCACGGGCGCGAACGACACCGACGCCATGCTGAACTTCGTGAACAGCCTCAGCAGCGAACTGCTCGGGTCTGGGGCGGCCGCTGCGTCCGTCGAGGACCAGCAGGACCTGATGGAGATCAGCCTGCAGACTCTGGAGTCGACGGCGACGATCCTCAAGCCAACCAGCGAGTACATTCATAAGATCGGCCAGGTGAGGGTGCTTCATTTTCCTGCTACCCCTTTCCCCCCCCGTCCTACTCCACCGCGCGCATCCTTCATTCCTCCTGTTGCCTCTGGCCCTCTCTGTGGCTTTTCCCCGTTCTCCCTGCCCCCCTCCTCCCCTTATCCCGACCTCCCCTCACCCCTCCTTCCCTCTACACCATTGCTCAATCTGAATATGACGCTCCTTCTCCCATGGCTCTGTGCGGAAGTTGCTCCGCCCTCGCCGCGTCTGATGTTGTTGTTGTTGTTGTTGTTGTTGTTGTTGTTGTTGTTGTTGTTGTTGTTGTTGTTGTTGTTGTTGTTGTTGTTGTTGTTGTTGTTGTTGTTGTTGTTGTTGTTGTTGTTGTTGTTGTTATTGTTGTTGTTGTTGTTGTTGTTTTTGTTTTGTTTTGTTGTGTTTTTGTTGTGTTTTTGTTTTTGTTGTTGTTTTGCGTACAGTGTTTCAAAGTGTGGGCATCTCTTGTCTTTCCCTGATAGCGTTTGCACTTAGGGTTTCTGGTCCTGCTGTGAGGAATTGGGGCATGTCTTCTGTCAGGCGGCGATGTGGCCGCCGTCGCCGCCCGTCGCCGCCTCGTCGCCGCCCGTGATCTGGGTCGTGTCTTCGGTCTGGCGGCTACATGGCCGCCATTGCCGCCCCGTCGCCGCCTCGTCTCGCCGCCGCCATATAGGTTGCTCCAAATGGATTGCACAACGTAGAGTGCACCACATCGATTGCACCAAATGTGTTGCACCACACAGGTTGCACAACATTCATTGTACAACGTATCTTGCACCGAATAGAGTGTACACCATGGGTTGCACGCCATCTATTGCAGAACATGTGTTGAACCACACATCTTGCACCTCACGGATTGCTCCACAACAGATGCACACCATGGAGTGCACCACATGGTTCGCATCGCGTACATTGCACACCACAGGTTGCATCACATAGGTTGCGCAACATAGTTTGCACCGCATATATTGCACCACCCAGGTTGCCCAACCCAGATTGGACAACCTGTTCTGCACCACATATACGGTACACATTAGATTGCCTCCACATCTATTGCACAACACAAGTTGCAACACATATTGCACACGTAGACTGCACATCATATATTGCACAACATAAGCTGCACATGCACAACATCCTTCACTCCGTATATCTCCAGATGCTGCACAACCTACAGTGCACAATATAGATAGAGTGCACACCGGCTGATCCACCTAGATTGTACAGCATCTGTTGCACCACCTAGATTGCTCCGCATAGTGCTCACAACCTATGTTGCACCGCATCTAGTGTACAGCCTAGGTTGCACCACATGTGCTGCGCAACATTGATTGCCCCACACGTGGTGTCCCACATCGATTGCTCAGCATATGTTGCACCGTCTAGAGTGCTGCACATAGCCTCCACAGCACAGATTGCACCACAGGGGTTAAGCCGCACATGTTGCACCATATGTATTGCACCACGTGGGTTGCACAGCACAAATTTCTAGAAATTGTTTTGGGGTGCGCACGCTGGCTATCATGTCCGTTCAAAAACACGATTCGACCTGCTCGGTTCTTCAGAGTGCCTCCGTCGCAGCAGCTCGGGCCTCGTTCTGGGATCGGCGTGTTGCCCCCCGCCGTTCAGAGTGGCACTCCTCGCCCCAGCGCAGGCAGCTTTGTTTCCTGGATCCGTGGACTCCCTCATCGCTGCCCCCCCCCACACACACACTCCTCTCTTCTCCCCCGAGCCGTCCCCTGGTCCTCCTGCACCTCCCGCTCCTTCTACTCCAGCTCCGACTGCTGCTGCTCGTCCTCGTCTTCCCTCCTCTTGTTCCGTCTGCTCCTCCTCCTGCTCATACGCCACCTTCTCCTCCACTGTGCGCAGCTCCCCCTGCCCGGTTGCGCATACCACGATGGGGTCCTTTTTGGAATGCCAGGTCCGTTGTGCCATGCGTCGGAGGATAGAGAAAACAGCAGTGCAATGGGGACGGATGGGTGGGCAGGGGAGGATGTCGGGTATGGCGAAAGCGCACCTAGCTCCTAGCTTGCCCTCCGCCCTCGCCCTCCTCCCCTCCCCCCCCTAACCCACCCCCCACCCACTTTACTCAGACCTGACTTCGCCGTTGCCCCCGCAAGACTGTCAGCGGCTTGGTGACCAGCTCCGATGACTACAACGTCCTGGACCATGAGGCGCCAGACGGGGCCGAAATCGTCGTCAGCGTCCTCGAAGAAGGAACATGGGCAGGAGCAGAACTCAAGCTAGCCAGGTCGAACGAGTCAGCAGGTCCAGCCCGATCCACTCCCCTCCCCCCCCAATTAGCTGAGAATGCAGTATCGCACAACTCGATGCTTCAATCGGAGCACGCTCCCACTCCGCGAACGGATGCCGCTCGCGCCGTGCCCTGCTGCCGTCGCCGGGGCGAAGGGACAGAGCTGCGCGGGCCGCGCAGGGGCGGGCCCGGCACTCTTGGCGGCCGCTCCTGCGCGGCGCGCGGCGGCAGGATGCCTTGGCGCGCGGGGCCGCACGCCCTGCGCTCAACGAGCGCGGCGAGGAGTGCCCCCACGAGCGCGGCAGAGCCCCGCCCTGCGCGCGGCGCCGAGGCAGCTCCGCCGCTCCCTCGGAGCCCGGGCGAGGGCGGCGCGCTCGCCCGCTCGCGCGGGCCCCGGGAAGGACAGCGAGGGCGACGCGTGCGGCGCCGCGCCCCCGGCGCCGCGCGGCGCCCGAGCGCCAGCCCACGGGGAGCCAGCGGCGCGGGGCCGAGGCGAGGGCGACGAGGCGCCCGCTCGAGCGCGGCCCCGGCCCCCGTCGGCGCGGCGAGGGGAGCGGATGCGCCGCGCCGAGGCGGGATCGCCACTTGCAGACGACACTGTCGCGACGCCCAGGCGAGCGTGGCGAGCCAGCCAGCGAGCGAGCGAGCGACAGCTGCGCACCGAGCCCAAGGCCGAGCGCAACTCTCAGGAAGAGAACCTTTGTTTGAAGGCCTGGGCGGTAACGGCCGTGGTCGGCCCCCTCCCTCTCCCCCCCGCTCGGCCGTCTTGGAAGCAATCTTTAGGCATCCTGGACGCCTCGCCTCGGAGAGCGCCAGGGAGGCGTCGAGATGCCCAGAGAGCCGTGGGAGAGGGGGGGGAATGCATGCAGATGGACGCTGGTAGGAGGAGGGGGGAGTCCTTCAGAAGAGGACAGAAGCCATACCAGGCAGCACTTGGCGTTCTACCACGACTCATATCGGGTTAAGGACAGTTCGAAACAGCCAGCGCGTAGCGAACGCTCCCACCATCCCAGACGTACCGTCAGGAGCTTTGGCTTAGCTTAACGCTCCGCCTGTTCTGACCCACAACGCTTCGGCGCCACATGCTATCCACGCCCCCTTTTTCAAGCGTCAACATCCCGAGCCTTTCGAGATCTCCCGCCCCGCGGAGCGGAGCGACACGCTGTCCACTCACAAAGCATAGCGTGCCGCCGGGGCCGCTGCTGAGTCACGCCGGGTCAAAGGTCCCGATCGCACGAAGCAATGCTTGGCCAAATTTGGAGTCGGCATTCGCGCGCGGTCCCGCCCAGCAAACGGATGGCACCTTCACGCGCGCGCGGCCCCGTTCTCCCGGCGACCCGTCGCACCGTCGTAGAAGGAACCTCGCGCGCCGCGCCCAGGCTCGTGCGCAGCTCTCCGGAAGGACTCAGCGGCGCGCAGAGGGTGCAAGTCTTGGGCTGATTTCGGCTTCCCCGATTCGATTCGATTCGATTCGATTTCGACGGTTTCCGATTCCGATCCGACTCGATCTAGGATTCCGATTTGAGGTCCGACCTCCCAATGGAAACCTTCAAGCCTGCCGACGTCTGCCGATTCCACTTCTCCCGACTCGGCTGCCGATCTCCGTCGATCCGATCTGCGCCGATCGCCGAGCCGATGCCTGCCGACTGTACTCTGGGCTCTCCTGCAGGTGAGCTTCGGGCTCGAGGTTCGAGGTTCGTGATGGGCCTGTTTTCCACCACCACCACCACCACCACCACCACCACCACCAACACCACCACAAGTAGGAGGGGGCGGGGGTCTCCTCCTCCTCCCTCCTCCTCCTCCTCCTCCTCCTCCTCCTCCTCCTCCTCCTCCTCCTCCTCCTCCTCCTCCTCCTCCTCCTCCTCCTCCTCCCCTCCAACTTCTGGCGGTTGTGGTGGAAGACAGGCCCGTCAGTTCGGGTTCGAGGCTCCCGGGCGCGCTCGTCGGCTCTCGGCGGCCTCCCGGCCGCCGGGGGGCGCTCCGTGGCGGCTGCGCCTCGCCCCGGGAGCGCTCTCGGGGGGTGCCTCTCCGGTTCGCCCCCCCGCGGGCCGCCCGGAGGCCCGGGCCGCGGCTCGAAGATCGGGAGACTCTTCATGGGGGGGGATCCCATGGGGGGATAGGATCCCAGGGGGGGGATCCCATAGGATCCCCTGGGGATCCCATGGGGGGGAAGGAGGGGATCCCATGGGGGGGATCCCCTCCTGCCCCCCCTATGGGATCCCCCCCCCATGGAGAGTCTCCCGGGAAGAGCAGAGCCGGCGGGGCGCACCGAGGGGGGAATCGGGAGCCTTGAGACGGGGGTCAGTGCAAACGGGGGTCAGCCAGGACACTGGATCCTGCAGGATCCTGGGAAGGCCCCCTCTGGTTGACCCGGGCGAGCGAGCCGCTCGCGGCCGCGGGGCGGCCGCGCCTACGGGCCGATCTGGGTCTGCGAAGACCTGCGTTGCGGTTTTTGTTCCTGCATTGCAGTTACTTGGTTTCCTGCTGACCCGGGTCTGGATTGACCCGGGTCAGAAGATCCCCGAGGGAAGCGAGATTCGGGTTGTCCCAAAGAAAAAGAGTCCAGCGACAAGGGGGTGGTGCAATAGATTTGGCGGGGCGCAGTACATTTGGTGCGTGCGGTACGTTCCGGGGCGCAGATGTATTGCTGGACGTTCGCGTGCAATAGATCATTTGCAATCCAATGCAATACAATTCTCCGGCGCAGTACATTTGCAATACGATTGCCCCAAATCTATTGCACCACCCCTTTGCAGCTGGACCCCCTTTTGTGTCGCCCAAAGGAAAGCAAGCAAAGTCGGCGGGGCGCACCGAGGGGGGAAGCGAGAGGGGGCAGGCCTTTTTCAGCAGGCGACGGGGCTTCTCAGAAGCCCCCTGGTTCGGTGACAAGTCGTAGGAGCCTGGTCTGCCCTCTGAATTCCGTCTTCAGCGTCGATTCGCGTCGATTAGCGTCGGTTAGCGTCTGGAGTCGATGAGATAGCGCCGATTTTTAGCGTCGGTTTGCGTCGATTTGGCGTCGAGTAGCGTCGATCTAGCGTCGGCCAGCGTCGACTCGCAAGAGCCGACAAGATGGTACGGGAGGCTCCCATGAGTTGTCACCGAACCCGCACACGCACATGAATACACGATGGCTTCGAGGCTTTGCATTTGCGCAAACGTTCGTATCACGCGGCCGGATTCGCGGATGGGGGGACCGTGTTCGTGTACGTGGGTGGGCGCGTGCATCCTTTGTGGGCTCCCTACTTCGGGCGGGGCTAGGACGAGGATGAATCCGTTACAGAGCGTCCCGGAGCGCTCTCGGAGCGTTCTCGCTGGAGCGCTCCGAGAAGGCCGCGGCGCCCGAGATATCCTCCAAAACCGCCAGATCTCAGCGATTCGCGATTTATCCTGGTTCGAATTGATCCTCGCCCTGGCTTGGTCTTAGAGGAGAAGGCTCAGAGGATGCAGAGGCGGAGGGCGGGTCCTGATTATCATGTTCTGCTCCTGCTCCTACAATGCTGTCACTGTCGCCGTGCCACTCCTTCTCAATTCCCGCCGCGCAGTGAGAGAGGGAGTAGACGGTAGAGTGGGAAGGGAGGGGAACAGCGAAGGAGGGGTGGTGGTGGCATTACTAGACGAGGCTGCTCCTGCTTTCGGTGTTCACATCAAGCGATCCTCGCTAAACCTGTCTGGGTCGAGTTCGAATCCATACTCGTTCGAAGTTGTCCTCGTTCGAATCAATCCTCGTTCGAATTGTCCCTCGTCCTGGCTTCGTCTCAGGGCTCCTCCCTGGAGGGCTGGAGGCCTTCTGTGGGCCCTGGGGCCCGCCCCGGCTGCCCTGATCAGGCCCTCCCCTCCCATGCCTGCCGCCGAAGAGCCCGGGCTCTTCAGGAGCCTCCTCGACGGGGTCTGAGCAGATGGGGTCCTCGAGGGGGTCCGCTGTGGAAAAGTCACGGCGGCAGGTTTTTCCCCCCCTTCGGCCTCCAGGGTCCCTCACCGGGTCTCGAGGCCGTCAGAAAACGATTCAGCACGGGAAGCCGGTCCTGGGGAAGGGGTCCAGACCTCGGGGTCGACGTTGTGAACGGAAATCACGACGTCGGGGGTCTGGGATCTAGGCTTCCTCGACGGGGTCCAGGTAGACGGGGTCGGAGGATCGCGGCGCATCGCCGATGCATCGGCGATGCGGCCCGATGTGGAGCCCGATGTCCTACACGCCGACGTCGCCGACGCATCGCCGACGTCGCTGATGCATCGCCAGAGCATCGCGGATGCACGCCGATGCATCGCCCATTTATCGGCGATGCGGCGCGATCGCCCGACCCCATCTACTCCGACCCAATCAAGGAGGCCTCTAGAAGAGCCTGGGCTCCAGGGCGAGGCCATTCATTCCTCAAGGGCGCCCACGAGGGCGCGAAGTCAATCACGCTTCGCGGTTCGGCTCCGATTCATCCTCCTCCTCCTCCTCCTCCTCCTCCTCCTCCTCCTCCTCCCTCTCCCTCCTCCTCCTCCTCTCTCCTCCTCCTCCTCCTCCTCCTCCTCCTCTCCTCCTCCTCCTCCTCCTCCTCCCCCCCCTCCTCCTCTCCTCTCCTCCTCCTTCTCCTCCTCCTCCTCCTCCTCCTCCTCCTCCTCCTCCTCCTCCTCTCCCCTGGGATGCGGCGCGAGAGCGCAAAGCTATTCGCGCGTCGCGCAGGGGAAGCGCGAGGTTAGGTGCCCTTGATTCATGTCGCTGGCGCGCGACCCCGCGTCCGATGATCGTGGCGGATGGACAGCGTGCGCCGGGCCTGAGACGGGAGCACAGTCTTCAGGGGCGACCCGCGCGCGCAGCGGAAGCAGGAGCGACGCCGTCCTCCCGTGGGGATGAAAGCATGGAGCGGGGCGCGTGCGACGAGCGACGGGCCCCGTTTCCACACGGGATCGGCGCGCTCCGTCGCCAACTCG